CCTTTTTACTTTCAAACTGGGCAACAGCTGCATATTATATTCTCTAAGCTTTGGACCACAATTTTACAAAAATCCTTTATCCTCTCTCGATAACCAAATTGTGTCTCTCCCCACCCAAAAAAAGTCTTCATCTCTTTATCTGACATATCAGATGTGTATCATTTATTTATTTGTCTTTATCTCCCCTCTAAAACTTAATTCTCTGAGAGGATGCTGTGGGTGGTGGTGATTGGGAAATGGGAAAAATGATTACATAAAATGCAATGTATCACCTGCCACGGTGATATAGCAGTACACCTGGATAGAAAAGCCTGGAACAGATACAATAATAGGGGCATGACTCCATTTAAACAGCTTTCTGAACAGCTGTAATTGTGGAGGCATTTCACTCAGGTGGAAAGTAGAGCGAAAGAAGATACATTTTTAACAATTTATACCCAAATGCCAGAGAGTTGTTTGAAGATGCTGTCTGTGCCGAGGTTTGGCCACGCAGGGGTTAAATACAGGACAAGATCCAAAGTAGCAGGGCCAGATTTTCCTGCAATGGAAACACACACACACACACACACACACACACCCGCGTTGCCAAAGTGTGGCTGTGAATGTAATAGTAATACTGGTGATATTAAGAAGTTAAAGCTAAAATGTGTTTTTTTTTCTCATCAGGAGAAATGTGGTAGGAGAGAAATCGTATTACAGATGGGAATGCTATGGTGTCATGAAAACCGCCTGTAGGCAAGGCATTTTGCTGGTAGATTAATATAGCTGTCTGGAAGTGTACAACGTGTGTTTGTCTGTGGTGAAAAATTAATTGGCCTTAGGTTCCTGCAGCATGAACATGAGGCAAAATAGACATGAATAGATGTGATTGCTATACATGAGACACATATTATTTATTTCACAGAAGTGAACGCATCTCTAGGGATGTGACACAGAAACCACTGCATTTTGCTAGAACATGTCCATCAATAAAGTAAGCTGGGATAAGGATTGATATAATTTTTAACCATTTTCCACTGCCTTATCTTTCCAAGAGTACGTTCTAAGGATACAGATTATAATAATAATAGTAATAATAGTAATAGTAATAGTAATAATAATAATAATAATAATAATAATAATAGTTGGAAGGGACCTTGGAGGTCATCTAGTCCAACCCCCTGCTCAAGCAGGAAACCCTGTACCATTTTGGACAAATGGCTGTGCAGTCTCTTCTTAAAAACTTCCAGTGTTGGAGCATTCACCGCTTCTGGAGGCAGGTTGTTCCACTGGTTAATTGTTCTAACTGTCAGGAAATTTCTCCTTAGTTCCAGGTTGCTTCTCTCCTTGATTAGTTTCCATCCGTTGCTTCTTGTCCTGCCTTCAGGTGCCTTGGAGAATAGCTTGACTCCCTCTTCTTTGTGGCAGCCCCTGAGATTATGATAATGTATTAATTATTCATAATTAATAATTCATTAATAATGGAAAATGGAGTACATAGTTGAGTGTTTAGTAAAATGCAGTAATCAAATACACAATCCTTACCTCTTTCCCATAATAAGAGTCACTCAACAGTGAGATTGGAATGGGACAACTCGCTGGAGCCAAATCACTGTGGCCAACTTGTCACTGCCAACTTGCCACGGCCAATTCACCATAGCCAGCTCGTTTTGGGACAACTTGCCATGGCCAACTTGCTATGGGACAAATTGCCACAGGACAATTTAACAATTCAATTTAATTATTTAAAACAAAAAAAAATTTAATTTTTATCATTCACATTTCATTCTGTCCCTTCTTTTGCATCCTTTCTTTAATGATTCTGTTCCACCATTTCTTTGATATTAGTGTAACTCTTGTCCTGCAGCGAGTTGTCCCATGGCGAGTTGGCCACAGCGAGTTGTCCCATAGTGAGTTGGCCACAGGAAGTTGTCCCATGGTGAGTTGGCCATGATGAATTGTCATAGACCTCAGTGAGAGGGGCAGCATATATATTTAATAAATAAATAAAAATAAGGATTTTAATTCGGACCACTCAAAAACTGGTAATGCAGTGGTTCTCAACCTGTGGGTCGGGACCCCATTTGGGGTCGATCGACCATTTCACGGGGGTCGCCAAGCAAGGCTGTCCGCCATTTTTTTTGTCCGCCATTTTTCCCCCCTTTTCCGGTGGGTGCCTTACCTCCCTTGGGCTGGGCCAGCTGGTGGTCGGCCTGCTCCGTCTCTGCCGCTTGCCAGCTACGCCTCGGCCGGTGCAGGGGGTGGAACCACGCATGCGTGGCGCTCCCGGGCAGGGAAAGTCCTCGACTTACGACCGGTTGGGTAGTCCTCGACTTACGACTGGTTTAGTCCTCGACTTACGACCGGTTTAGTCCTCGACTTACGACCGGTTGGGGTCACGGCATTAAAAAGGTTGAGAACCACTGTGGTAATGGGAACCCTGAAATTGTGTCTGCACCATGAAAAGGAATCTAGAATCAGATCAGATCTAGATTTAACAAACCAAAAGTAAAAGGCTAACTTGTATCTGGATTCCAACAGAAGAAAATGTATGTAGCCCAGGGTTGAACTGTTGGGTTCTTTTGTTATCTCTGAGCTTGGATGCTTTCTTGTAGACGTTTTATTACCAGCTAGGTAGCATCATTAACGTGAGGGAACATGAAGTTTACTGGTTATTCATATATGATAGTTTGCCCTGCTAGTCTTGGTGCAAGTATAGTTTTCTTCTTGATGGTCCCTTGATTAAACTATTGTTTTTTCCATGATTGTGTGTCTGGTTTTGATTCATGCTTATCTGAGTTTTGGCCACTGGATGAGATATATCTAGGCTGTTTGTTTCCTTGCTAGGCTTCTGATTGTATCTTTTAAATGATATACCAGTATAAATGGGATTTATGTCTATAGGTATATTGATCACTGATTTGTCTGAAAGCCAAGCTTTCAGAAATTCTCTAGCATTTTTGGATTTGGCTTAATCTAAAATTTTACCAGTTTCCCAGCTGAAACTGTGGCTGAGTTTGTCCAGGTTTAAGTGACTTTTAACATTTCTTTTGGCTGCCAGTTGTTGTTCATGAATGTGGTCTGCCAATCTGGGTTGGTTTGTAATATTTCAGGCTGTAGATTGTATAGACCAGTGATGGCAAATCTTTTAGAGACCGAGTGCCCAAACTGCAACCCAAAACCCACTTATGTATCATCGAGTGTCAGGTGGGCATGGCCCATTGGGTGGGTGTGGCCCATTGGGTGGGCGTGGCCAATTGGGTGGGCATGGCTGCAGTGGTAACGGCAGACTGGGTGGGACTAAAAAGTTCAATCAATCAATTCCAACTTTGCGAGATCTTTTTTTTTCCCTGCGAGAAGTTGAAATTGATTCATTGATTGAACCTTTTTTTTTTTTTGCACACGGCGGTGGAAGCCAAGCGAAAAGGTTTTATAAAACCCAGCTGAAGGCCTAGGACTGGGGCGACGGTGCACGTGCCCACAGAGAGGGCTCTGCGTGCCACCTGTGGCACGTGTGCCATAGGTTCGCCACCATGGGTATAGACTGTCTGCTTCTCCATTTTGTCTGCCCTTTTTAATTTTCTCAAGGAAGTAAACACTTTGGAACAAGTTAGTTGCTGCAATGCATCTTTGTCCTCAGAATATTTTCTTGTTTTCATAGTGTACTACTATTAGAATACCCTTTTAACAATAGAAGGTTTTCTCACATTCCATCAAGACCCATCTTGTTGCTGATGTCTGCTGAAATTATTATTATTATTATTATTATTATTATTATTATTATTATTATTATTATTATTATTATTATTATAATTTATATACCACCCTATCTCCCTTACGGGACTTAGGGCGGTGAACAGGCGATAATAAAAAGGACTTCAAAGACATGCTATATATTTGCACTGAGTAATACTCACTAGAATGTTTGTATATTGAACCTATGTGGCTGCACATTTCTTATTACAGCAGAGTTTTTGTCTGTTCCAACTTCTTACTTTTTATAAGATAATTTTTATATCCTAATGCCTTCTCAACGTGTTAGACTACTTTCCAGTATTCCCACCTGGAGAAGACACCACCTGGAGAAGATTGTTTTCTATTATGATGTAGCCCACTTCTGCAAATATTTCCTTTCTCTTCCAGAGCTCTGTGGTAGTTCTTGTGAACAATAAGAGGCCCACATCTTTCCGTGTGTTTGCCAGACAGATAGAATATCTGTTGTCATTTCAGAAGCCAATCCTTTTTATGATAAATGCTCATGAATGAGATCAGAGCCAGACTCCAGATGGGAGCAAGTGCTTCCAAGAGCCACAGCTCACCTTTACATCCTTCTAACCACTGCACTGATTGCCTCAGTGACAGCTACAGCTTCCTCATAAGGAAGAAAATAGTGAATTAGAGACCAGGTGTAAAAGTCCCAATCCTGCAGAAAGCAGCCACCTGCCACCATCTTTAGCTGGTACAAGCATTTTTTAAAAAAACAAACCCATTGCTACTGGAGGGAAGGCCAGGTGTGACACAGCTAATCTTGGGATGTTTTCTCTTTCCTCCTTCACCAGTGGCAGCTGTCTGAGAATTAATTCTGCCAGAAGAGGAATTTGACAAGGTGTCATTGATCACAGGCTAAGGCTTTTGTTCACTTCTTTGAATACCCTAATTGCCTAAGTAATTTGTCTCGTTATAAGGAGGGATGGTTGACATAAGCTGATTGGGTAGGTTTGAGTCATTTCCTACTGATGTTTCTAATCTGAATGTCTCAGGAGTGATAGCACTGTATATCTGAACAGACCTAGAAGATCTTCCTTCTATATCTGCTGTAGTGATAGATTCCTGTACACAGGAAGGTGGACTGGAGTATCTCATTCAACACTTGCATTCTATTATTATCAACCAATTTTTGCAAAACCTTTGTATTTGGCATTGGAATCATCAGGCCAAAAGTATGTTTCTTTTAGTCCTTTACAAATGTCATCCTACTTAATTTTTCTTTTGTTTGCATTTTCCCTTTTTTAAAATTACAGGTAGAAGATCAAGGCGTTCACGGGTGGTTTTCTAAAAGGTATAGTCATCACAGAACTGGAAGAGCCTCAAAACCAAATGTAACAAGCCATGTTCTGCCTTGGAACGAGGAGGTAAGTGATGCTTTGGCCCAGCACAACTACAAGGAATGCTTTGGTTGCCAATACACTTCTGATATAGTTGAAGGTGATGGTTGTTGTTTACAAAGCCCTATATGGTTTGATACTTGGTCATCCAACGCCGGCTTCCCAACATGAAGTTAAAAGCCCTTCCCATGTCAGATTTGAGGAGGGAAGCAAGAGAACAATGTTTCTCAATCATGTTCTCCATGCCTGTGGAATACTTTATTGCAAAAAGATAGAACTTCTGGCTTTTAGAAGGATGATTTAAAATGGAATTGTTCTGGAGAACATTTGGCAGCTCATGTGGATAAGCTTGATAAGAGAGGGGACATTATTGCTATAAGTTTTACTATATGTTGTGGAATTTATTTTTTATTGGATTCTGTGTAAACCAGTTAGAGGCCTATATGGAGTTAGTGGCATACAAATGCTATGATACATAAAGTGACTGTACATCTAGGTTGTCTACGCCCTCAGCTTTTATTCTGGAATTGGTTGGTAGACTCTCAGGCACAGCGTGGCTGGTATAGATATCTTATTATAGATACGTATGAGGCTAAGTATAATAGATCCGTTTATTCAATACACAGCACGCAAAGCCAGTATGTATGCACCAGAATTTAAATTCTAACCTTTTTCATTCTGTATTTGGTTCCTGCTATGCTAGGATCATTCCCATCAAGAGGGAGAGAAGACAATTTGGAGTTGGTGATTTTGCAGAGGGAACATTTAAAAAGTATTATTAAACGAAACATTGAGATCATTGAATTGTTGGCGCTAACCCAAATCATGGTTTGCTAAATTAGCCAGAGCAGTCTGGTTTGTAAATAACACTAAGCCACAATAGCTCCAAAATCACATCAGCCTAATCATCTAATGGCTTAGTGTTTTGTGTGTAGCAGCATGATGCAATCCACTGAAATTAATGGGAAGTGTAAACTAAATTAGAATATTTGCTCTGTTTCTATTCTGATGCTTCGTAGAAGTTTCATAATGAATTTCAGCATTTGATGTCAAGCTTATGTTCTCTGCCAAAAGGCTGTAACAGCCTGTGAATAGACTAATTATTGGCTGAGGAGACCATTGTTTTATGAAATGATCTTACAATAATTGAACCTTTCCTGAAGGTTTATGTTCATAGCGGCTAAACAATGTTTTTAAATGTTGCCAGGGAGGTTCTACAATTAATTCAGGCAAATAAATAAGATTTAATTGATTCAGTTCCCTCCCCTTTGATCCGGCTCATCTCCTGCTGAATCTTTAGCTGAGATTTATTTACAGGGTTTGGAGTAATACTCTTCATTGTAACACAGATACTTCCATCTGTGCATTTCAGATGTTGTTTGGCTGCCATTGTGACAGGAAAATACACAGAGAGGCTGTTGTTAGAAATGCATCCCACTGGGATTGGCCCATCCCACCCGTGCTGACAGAAGAGGCATCCTGTGGGCCCCATTGGGCCGATTATTCCGACTGGGGGGGGTCCAGGAAAGGGGCCTTCTCTGCCATTGCATCTGTAAGACACCCAGAGTTACCCTGTGTAAGATGGGCATCCAATAAATTTTATAAATAAATAAATTTAGGTGACTGGAAAAATAGGAGAAAAAGTGCTCAAGGGAAAATGCTGCAGGCAGATTACAGAGGGAATCTGGAAGCTGCATTACAAATTATCAAAATCTTCAGTAAATAGCCAAATAGAAGTCTGGGGAGTGTTATGATGGATAATAAATTTAGTTTCTTGTTTTATTAAGTACTTAGGTTTGCACAGGAGTCTGATCGGCATCTTACATTAACTTCATGCAAAATAACATTGTCATGATGTGCCTTGTATTTATTGAAGCATCAGTTCTAAAACACTGACTTTTCACGAGAAGATACATTGTTGGGCTATATCTGGGATTTACTTTAATATTGTTCCATCTCAGCCATATTTTTTTCCATACCCTCAGCACCTATGACTTTAATGAAGCGTGTGATCCAGTCTTCTATTTCAAGTATCACAATGATACTTGGGGAACAGTAGCTGAGGATGTGCCAGTTTGAATGCAAGAAGCAAGGACATTATTAACCACTGCTTGGATGGGATTATCATTGCAACAGAGATGTTAACAAAAGGGAAAGTCCCATTTTCAGCAAGATTGTGCATTCAGGAATTACTATGCTGTAGCTCAGTGGTTCTCAACCTATGGGTCGCGACCCCATTTGGGGTCGATCGACTATTTCACGGGGGTCACCAAGCAAGGCTGTCTGCCATTTTTTTCCCCTTTTCCAGCGGGTGCCTTACCTCCCTTGAGCTGGGCCAGCTGGTGGTCAGCCTGCTCCGTTTCTGCCACTTGCCAGCTACGCCTCGGCCGGCGCAGGGGGCGGAACCACGCATGTGCGGCGCGGCGCTCCCCGGTTGGGGGTCACGGCATTAAAAAGGTTGAGAACCACTGCTGTAGCTTGTAATTGTGAATGGTGGATGTGGGTTGACTTCAGTGACCTCTGAGCTTGACCCCTTCAGCCGCAGATGCCAACATTCTTGGAATCAAATATTAGCAATATTATGTATAGTAGCAAGAGTTTTTCAGTTTCAGGAGGAAATGGGAAAAAAAGGTTTTCTCAGCAGAATCATTTCTATAAATAGACTTTTGTATGACATTTTCTATTCACTTCCTTTAGGAGAAGCATGGGTTGTCAAGAGGAGCAGGGCAAATCTCTGAGTGACCACCAACCCATTGGCACCACCTCATTTTGATTTTTAAGAAACTATTGAATAACATTTTATCTTTTCATAGTCTTTTAAACATAATTTTACATTGTTTCTATTGCATCTGAAACACTGGGTATTGGTTTATACCTGGATGTTTTCAAAATCTATTTATAAATATTTTTTTTAAAATTCAAAAGGAAGATAAAAATGTAAAGCAAGTAAAAAATCAACCAAAATTTTAAAGTGCAAGAAAGAAAAACAAGCAAAAAAAGAGAGAAAAGACATACAAAGAACCGAGTGCCAATCTTCTTTACAGCAGTTATAAGTACAATTATAAATTTACTTCTCTATGATTACAACATGCCCCTCTTCTTTCTATAATCTGCTCACTTGTTGTAAATTCATTTTTTTCTGTTTTACACAAAAATCCATAAGGGTTTTCCAGTCAGGGATAAATGTTGATACTGTCTTTTCTCTGATTAAAAAAACAAAAACAAATTTAGCCATTTCAGCAAGTTCCATCATCTTCATCAGCCATTTCTCATTGTGGGTGGTATCGAATCTTTTCATTTTTATGTGCACAACAATCTTGCTGCAGTTATCATAAATGGAAACAAAGTTCCATTACTTTTTTTTCTGTTTATCCATCAATAACCAAAGGGGGGAAAAAACTGGTTTCAGTTGTACATTAATCTTTAAAATCCTCTGAATCAATGTGTGTATTTGAATCCCAAATTTTCTACCTTTTTTACCCATCCATCAAACATGATAAAATGTCTCTTCTTGTTCACACTTCCAACATAAATTTAATGCATTTTTATATATTATAGGCAATTTCTCTGGTGACATATCAAGGATTTTTTTTCAAAGTCTAAATGGTTTTGTGGGAAATAAGTTATATTTTGGTTTTGTTCCAAGTTGTTTTGATGGATTAATATATGTTAAAGAGGGGTAAGAAATTTTAAACAATCATATGTCTAAAGGACCTCTATAAAAATGGGATATCCATTTTACATGGAACAGCACTAAAATGGTAGAGTTCCTATCTTATAACTTCTGGAAATATATGTCAAATAACATTCAGATGGTGCTAATTAGAGGTGATAGCTCCTTTTTTTCTAGTATCAGTGGGGTAAAATAGCAGAGAGCCATTTCTGAGTAGCATGGAACTTTTCTATTCTCTATGTTTCTCGTTCATGTAAGGCTGCTAGCTTTCAAGGTGCATAACATACGTGTCTGTCCATGACAGACCCCTATTTCACTGGGCTCTATATTGCTCCAGAAGACTCATAAAGATAATTTATTTGAAAGTGCCTTCAAGTGAAATTCTCTATGTTCAAGAGTGCCTGGATGCTAACAATACAATGCTATCTTCTCCCTGTTATGCAATTTACATGAGTTGTTGTTGGTGTTATTATTTTAAATTTATTGGCCACCAACTCCAATGAACTCTGTGCAGCGCACAACACTAGAAAAACCCCTATTAAAGCAAAGTTCACAAATATTGGGTTTCCATGGGCTAACTAGGTGGCCCCAAACTTACTAAATTATAAATAAATTCCTTTTCCATCCAATAATTGTTGTAATCTTGCTAATGCAAGGCATTAATAAAAGTACATTTTTATTGTGTCTTCAGTATGCTGTCATATTTTATAAACTAGAATTGCTATAGGGGAAACTAATAGTAATAATGAAAGAATAAATAACGTCTTAAGTTGGTGGCTGTGCTTAACTAGCAGAATGAGCCTCAGAGGATAGAAAGAAATTACAAAATAATTAGAGAAACATGGGATGGAGGTATGCAAGGACAGAACTAGCACATGTGTTCGCCATAGACTTTAACCCTGGCAATAAGAAGCTTGATGTGAGTTAAGATTCTCCAACAGGAAATTCTTGACCTTCTTATAAAACAGTAATCCCCATAAAACTTTGAGGTTGCTGTACTATAATGTTTTGGTTTAATACAATTATCTGTTTGGATTTGGTTTTTCCAGTGGACTTGTGTTGATTAACAGCTTGGGAAATATGCAGAAATTGCCAGATATCTTGCTTTTGCTGGACAGACTTCCTCTTTTAGCCAAGAAAATTTTTGGATGGTACAATTGATGTGGCTTGATGTTCAGATATGCTTAGTACCAATACTGGCTTGGATAATGTTAAAGTGTAGCTGTCAGCAGTAGAAAAAAGCCATTACTGTTCATGTGGCTGTGACCACCTGAGTGGTAATATGCAGGTAGCCCCCTGCAGTTCTAAGGAGGGAGGCAGGGCTGTTCAAGGTTAAAACTGGTGCATGGATCTGTATTATAACCCATTGGCTGAAACTACTGTTCTTCCCCACAGATCTGAATTCTTTCCTTTTGTATACTATAACTATAAATCAACATGGATTAGAACTATTTTATTAAAACTCTAACATCTCAGCCTCTCCAAGGAGGAGTTCCTAATGATGGGCTATGAGCAGGCACTTAGTGCATTTAAACAAAGTATTAAGGATCAGGAAGTTCAACAGGACATGTCTGCTTTACCCACCATTGGCTAGAACTGAGAGGCCATACTATGCTCCAATAATTTATCAAATATGTCAAGTTGCAATTGGCTGTCTGAAAATTTGTTTTCACCTCTCCTTTGTTCAGGGCTGGAGACCTCTAAGTTTTCAAAAGGGCATTATTGATTTCTAAGATCTAAATACCCAGCCCATCTTTAGGCTAATACCACAAGCCAGTATGCAAGTGGTTCTATTTTTGCCTACCTGGAGAATACATTTTGATTTATTCTGCAACTGTTCACATTCCACATTCTTTTATTATAGTTAAGGGGTCTTTTTGTCTAAAGTCAGATCTTTCAGTTATTCAGTTATTTATTTGCTGATAAACAAATGGTTTCAATTTTTTTTTAAAAAAATAGATATACATTAATATTTATCCTTAAGGAATCTTAGATTTATCCCAAGTACATTTTATTTAACATATTTATAACTTGCCTACAATGCAGAGGATCGTGAGTAGTTTATACTGCATAATGCATTGTACTGATAAAGGAGAATATTTGTAGTTCAGGGTTGAAATGGGGGGTCTTTGGTGCTCTCTGAGCTTGGTTGTTTTCTTGCAGACATTTTGTTACCCAAACTAGGTAACATCATCAGTACTAGTAAGGAATGGCTCTCAATTTATATTCTAGTGATTTGCCCTGTCAGTGTTGGTGGGAATTATCTTGGAGGTTCTTTGGTTGAGCTTTTACTGTTACCTTGTTTGGCAGTTCCTTGATAGGGGCATTGTTTACTTCTTGATTGTTGGTCTGATGTTAATCTGATGCTAACATCATTAATCTGATGTTAGTCTATCCATTTTGTTGGAAGATGTTGTACAGATGACCTGTTTCCTTTTTCTGCTGCTCAGAATTGCTGCACTGTGTTTGTCTTATCTGAATAGAGTTCTTACACAAGAACAAGCCAAGTACAAAAACAGTAGAGAAGTTCTTGAAGCCTGTCACTCAAACAAATTGGCCATCAATAGACACAATACATACCGGTATAAACAATATCTACATACTCTGCAGAAGATACTACTCTGCAGAAGAGACAATCAACAAGGCAAAAGGGAACAAAAAGACCCAAGCACCTCACCACCAGCAATCAACACCTGGATGAACATAGATTAACATCAGACCAACAATCAAGAAGTAACAATACCCCAGTCAAGGAACTGCCAAATAAGTTAACACTAAATAGCCCAACCAAAGATCCTCCAAAACCACTCCCACCAATGCTGACAGGGCAGGCCACTAGAATATAAACTGGGAGCAAACCCCACTCCTTACTAGCACTGATGATGTTACCTACTTTGAGTAATGAAACATCTGCAAAAAAACCAACCAAGCTCCAAGACCAAGGACCTCTCATAATGTATTGTGTTCATCAGTAAGTGCCCAGTAATATTTACCATGTAAAATATGGAGTGATGCTCCATTTTCTTTTGTTTAATGACATTCATAGACTTCTTTTTTTGCTAATTGATGAATATTATCAATAACTTAGGTGTCTACCTGGTAAAAGAAAGATGTCTTACATACTAACCTCATATTTAAGAACTCCCATAACCATTTAATTTTGTTTTGGGATGGTACAAGCTAAAATCCAACATTTCTGATAACTCAGGTTCTTTATTCTTATTTTTTACATACCCATACCTGCATACCTATATATACACCATATACCACAAAATTGCCTGAGAATTTATGTATAGCCTAAGTCAGACATGTCAAACTCGCGATGTCACGTGACATTGCACAACGTATCGGGAGAGTTTTGCCATTGCCAGCAATGGGGTGGGCGCGGCTTCCGCATGACGTGTCCAGCCCACGGGCTGGCAGTTTGACACCCCTGGCCTAAGTGATGCCATTTTATTTGCAGTACAAAGGGAGAGCAAACTTGCATGTATTTGAAGATTGGTGTGGAGGAGCTGTGGGACATCTAAGGAAGAATCTGCATTTCCCCCTATATCCTCATGTAAGTATAATCTATTCTCCAATAAGATGCCAGTGTTTCATAGCTTCCAAGAGAGTGCTTCCTCTCTTTTTCTATGCAGTAAATATTCTTAAGCCCTTCTGAAGTGAATTTACATTTTGTTAAGTGTAATTTGGCTTTATCTGAATGTTAATGAATGCCAGATAGTAATATCTTTCATTTAAGAGTATTTACCATTCATTCATTCATTCATTCACAGCATTTATAAACGGTTCCTATCATTCCGACTCTTGGTATACAACAAAGTAAGAAAAATCAAAGTGTACAAAAGTAAAATAATCACAGTCAGTCTTTTCTCTCAGGTCCCATCATGATTTGCTGGGCTACAGTTTCTCCTAATTAAAGATTGTGCTGTCCAGAAATCATTGGAGTTGCAGTTCAGTACAACCCAAGGACATAAAATTGAGTAAGAATGTAGTCTATACAGCTTCCTGTCCCTATGATTGTGGCCAAGGAATTCCCACTGGTTTAGGACTGACCAAATATGGGAACTCTCACAAAATTAGAATCTGATAGAGGAAGTTATACAGTAGAGTGTGGGAAGATTAGCAGTACAATTGAAATTCCCACTTGGCTTCATTTATTATTACAAATGATGCCTTTAGATTCTTACAATAGGCACTTTGCTGGATGAGTGAATGAATTTTATAGCCAAAGGCCAGCAATGTAAAAGAGCTTAGAAGAGGAAAACATAAAGACAATTGTGCAACACATAATAAAGCAGACAGTAACACTAAAGTAATAGGACATTATTTACTATATCTGGAGAGAAAGTTTAACTGGCATTCTCTCATTTTGCTAATGTTTTGTGTAATGCTTTGATTTTGCACAATGCATAGGAGAAGCTCATATATATAAATTCTGTTTTCCAGTGTGTGCTATCACAGTGAATACAACTGGATAGCATTTCTCCAACATTCCACTTTCCCAGTGTGAAGTGGAATAATGTTACATGCAAAGAACGTCTTTTTGTCCTTTCTATCTTTTAGACTCGTACAACAGTAAAAAAGTTGGCTGTGTCACCCAAGTGGAAAAATTATGGGCTACGTATTTTTGGCTACATTCATCCCTTCAAAGATGGTGAGTACAATAAATTCCCCTTCAAGGGCAGAGCTTCTTTTCTGGAGTTTCTCTCCCCTAGCTTCATGCCAGAATATTTTTATTCAAAAAATCCCCTATTATTGTCTTTCTCCCACAGTCTCACCCTGGGCATTGTTGTGCAGCTTCAGAAGAAGCCACATTATCTAAGTAACGATTGTAACACATTTTGCTCCTCACTGTCCTTCCCAGGTCACAAGTTACATGCCTTCAGAAAGCTTATGAGATTTAAGAGTAAAGTATTTCTTTCTCCTCCCTTCTTAAAAATAAACAAACAATAAGGCACTGCCACTCCAGTTTTTTGAGATCAGACAGTAGCATTTAAGAACACATGACACTAAACTGCAGGTAGCCTGCCAGGAAAGGAAACAAATTTATATGTCAACTTTCCTGCTCTTATTAGCTAAATTATCTTTCCTTGTCTTATAGGAGATTTTCAGTTTTCTGTAGCTTCGGATGATAATTCTGAATTTTGGCTCAGCTCTGATGAGACTCCAGCCAATATACGTCTGGTGGCGTTTGTGGGCAAGGTGGGCAACTTCTGATAATAAGATAATGATAAAGGTATCGTAGCAGCTTTCCATGAGTTGATGTGTTTCTTATAGCCTTCTTACAAATAGTACCATTTGGCATTATCTCTTTGGTTCCTTGCTGAGAGAGTTAAATGTAAATGAAATTGTAGTGTTGCCACTGGGAGACATATAAACATTGAACCAACTCAGCTGTGAGTTTTACATCTGGAGGCTGCATAATTAAAACCTGGATCTATTGTACGAAATTCAAATGTGTGTGTTTGAGGGTCTGTTTGAAATTCTCACATGTTGCAATAGTGATATTTTATATGCAAGTCCCCTTCTGCTCCTGTGGTTCACAGCTTGAGCCCATTTGGTTTCTTCACTAACACCGCTTTGCATTGTAGGTCTCTTGTCTATGGCTATAGCACAAGGTTTATGCTTATATCTCTCAGTTCATTTAGAGTGAAAATAGAGTTCTCATTTCCATTTCCATAGTCTATTTACCTCTATGTCAGAGAGTAAAGAAATGCTGGAAATAAGGCAATTTTTCCCATATAAAGGAGGAAGTTTGCAGTTTGATTTCAAGCAAAATGCTTTGGTTTATTGAGTTAGTTAATTAGTTATTACATTTATTTATGCACTGCCAAGTTCCCAGATTCTGGATGGTTTACAAATTAACTATCGTAAAAGCATTATATAAAATTCCAAACAGTTACTCTGTCCAGTTGCCAGATCAAACCATCATAACCCAAGTCACCAATCAAATAAAAATAAAGCAGGAGCCCAGTGTCACAACAAAATAAAAGTTTAATAAAGCACACATTATTTTTTTAAAGATGATTAAACAAAATAATACTGGTGGCCTGGAGAAAGGTCCGAATTAGACCTTTGAGGTTAAATTATTCCATAGCATTAAGGCTACCCCAAACAGCTTCTGGATCCATGACCCCTTAATCTGTCAGGGTCCTCAGCATCCCTTCCCCGCATGCTTGTATAGGTTGGGGAACATCCAATTAGGAGAGGCAAGTCCTCAAATAACCTAAAACCAAGTCACAAAAGACATTACAGATTAAGGACAAAAAATCAAATTGGCTCTGGAAAACTAACAGTAACCACAACTTCACATTACAATTACATTTCTCACATATTACTAACCAGGCCACTGCATTTTTACCAATTGAATTTTACAGTTAGAGATACCTCCTGGAAGAGCATACTACAGTCATTTAATTGTTGGGTGTGATTACTATTGGTAAAGTTTCTCTATCCAGGAAAGGCTGCAAATGGCACATCAATTTAAAATGGACAAGCTCTCCTCTGGTCATGGTTTCTATCTCCTGTTCTAGTAAGACCTGGAGGTTTTCAGGAAATTGCCTAAGCCACAGATCTTCCCCTTCAAAGGAGAGTGTAACCTCTTCAGATGTGTTAAAGCAGCGGTTCTCAACCTATGGGTCGCGACCCCATTTGGGGTCGATCGACCATTTCACGGGGGTCGCCAAGCAAGGCTGTCCGCCATTTTTCCCCCTTTTCCAGCGGGTGCCTTACCTCCCTTGAGCTGGGCCAGCTGGTAGTCGGCCTGCTCTGTCTCTGCCGCTTGCCAGCTATGCCTTGGCCGGCACAGGGGGTGGAACCACGCATGCGCGGCGCTCCCGGGCAGGGAAAGTCCTTGACTTACGACCGGTTGGGTAGTCCTTGACTTATGACCGATTTAGTCCTCGACTTACGACCGGTTGGGGGTCGCGGCATTAAAAAGGTTGAGAACCACTGTGTTAAAGGATCAAGAATAAAGCAGGATTCAGTCTGAGCTATCAAGCCCACAGCAGCTCCCTAGCATTAGGCAAAGACTTCTCTAGCACCTCTGATCTGGCCTACGATGATTTTATGTAACTGGGTATCATCAGCAGTGGCTGTTGAAGGATATGAAGGAGGGCGTATATCTGGCAGAACTACCTTGCCTTCTTTACCTGATCAGGTTTTAGTGATGCATGCTGAGTCTGCCCGTTCATGTGCTTCAAGGTCATGAATGAAAGAGGTCTTGTTATGAACAGACTTGATATTTTCTAAGAGCAGTCTGAGGCTAAGGCACCCAGAAATCTAACCTTCAGGTTCAAGGGTGGGTACCTGGTAAAAAATGGAAATCTGCACCAAATTGTGGTTCCTCTTTTTCCTGTAACAGCCAACTCATCACAACTACCTCTTCATGTGACTCAAGCAGTTGGGCATCCTATTAAAATCCATTCATACTGTGAACAATTTGCGGTTTTAGAAAGAAGTAGCATAAGAAGCATAAAAACATATACAAAATAAATTCAGTAGAGAAATCTACAGTGTTAGTGAGTTTTAGCTTGGCTGTCTAACTTTAGAATGTTTGAAAACAGCTACATAAGTGCTTCTGCCCCCCTGCTGTCAACAAACCCTCTGTAGATTTTTCTGAATCTTGAGAAAAGTGCATTCCTGTGCATTTACAGACACAAATGTAATGGACAGAGAGAGAATTAATGCAACTCCCCAGGCTATTTTGATTTCTACAATCGTAGCACTGTTTTGCTGTTCAGCAAACCTGTATCTTTGATGGAGGCAGCAAAGTTATGACTGAGGCCTCAAGGACTGCTCATTCAATATTACTCATGGCATGTTATGCCTTATAAGGGATCAGCAAAAGATTTCAAAGAAAGGGTTGGATCTGTGTAACAACTCCAGAGTTGTTTAATTCTGCCCTTAGCTCAACTTCTCATGAAAAGAAAATTTTTAATCTGGAAACCTAGAGGGTGTATTTTGAGGAGTTAGAGAATTTGGTAATATCTGTTCTATAATGTTTAAAGATGGAAATATATCACACACACAATGAGAATGGTGTTCCTGCTTTATCCCTTAGCTCAGGGGTCTTCAAACCTGACCCTTTTATGACTTGTGGACTTCAACTCCCAGAATTCCTCAGCCAGTATTGCTGGCTGATGAATTCTGGGAGTTGAATTCCACAAGTCATAAAAGGGCCAAGTTTGAAGACCCCTGCCTTAGCTACTAAAACTATTATATCTCACTACTTTAGTCTAGCTACCCCTGGTTCAATGCCTTCAGTTGTGTTGGAATTGCATCTCTCCAACTTGCAGCCAGCAAGATCAAAGACACATCTGGAGAATACCAGGTAGGCAGATCTAGATTCTGCAAGGAAATGACTTTGGGCAAAAGTTTCCTGTGCTTGGAGTTACTTTTCTAGGATTCTTTATTCCAGCCAAGGAATAGGAAGGAAATGCTATTTGCAAAAACTCTTAGTTGCTTTCACAATTGTTGCAAGAAGCCAGAAAGGACTGGTTGTTTGTTTTTTAATAGTGATGTGAGCAGAATGTTATTGTTCCAGAAAGAGATGTGAAAGAGTTAAACTATACACTTTCCGCACCATTTTTTTCAGCCCTGAATTAAAGTCTCTGAATTTGCTTGTCAGTAAAGAGCAGGGGTCTTCAAACTTGGCCCTTTTATGACTTGTGGACTTCAACTCCCAGAATTCCTCAACCAGGCATGCTGGCTGAGGAATTCTGGGAGTTGAAGTCCACAAGTCATAAAAGGGCCAAGTTTGAAGACCCCTGGTAAAGAGCAAAGAAGAAAGAGAACCTTTGGGAGAAAAACACATAAAAATACTGTATGTATGATTAATAGCTTGGTTCTAAAAACATTAGGAAGTAGGCAATTGCTAGGAACATTTTTTCAGGACAGAGACGTTTTCCTATGAAATTGATCAGATTTCACATCTGTTTTCCCTTCCTCTGAACATGTGTTTTTATTGCTTATCTCACTTATATTTCAAAGACTGTCTCTCAAACATTGGGAAGTTTTGAAATCCCCAGGTGCACCAAACAGATTTATAATCCGTGGCTTTTGACTTTCTGTTAACGAATTAAAGCAACACAAAATTAAAACTTCCTTTATGGTAAGATTTTAAACTTGAATGGCCAAGTCCCAGGACAGCCATAGCTCTCTCCATTTGTATATTTGTAATGGATGCACAAAGGGCGGTGTCAAAACTTGCACATTTATGTCCCCTTTAACATATAAGGAATACTCAGACCTACCTAGGATCAATGCCACATCCCTGTGTTATGAGAATGCTGTGGAGCTTTCTGAAGCAATCGCCAGCTGAGATTATTAATTTACAGCTTAGTTGTTATCCCATAACAAATGCTTCAAAGGCAATTTCATAGCTTTTTCTCTGGGTGTTCCATTGCTCTGCCTTCCACCTCCTTGAATTTTCCCCTCCTGAAGCCAGCATGCTGTAGTGCCCTGTCACCCCTTCTCCCCATTTTCTTTAAGAATGATTTTAAAAGCAGATTTGTTGTTGCTTTCACAAAGCTGCCATTTTTATTCCCTCCCCATAAATGCAAATACAAAGGAAAAATGAGATTGGGAGCAATAGGATGCAGGCGGGAGCATTGATTTTCTTGTAATTTCCATACTTCTCTGTCTTCTTTGATTCCAGTTCTAGGTAGCAGAGATAGGAATGCTAACAAAGACACAAGTGAATTTTTTTTATCATTTGTGTGGTGAAACTGAGACAGTTCCTTAAAAAGAAGAAAAAGTTGTGGCATTATTTATTTATTAGATTTTTACCCAGCTTTTATTAATTTATATATAACTCAAGGCAGGGAGCATCCCTAATATTCCCTCTTCCTCCTATTTTTCCCACAACAACAACCCTCTGTGGCGAATTGGGTTGACAGAGAGTGACTGGCCCAAAATCACCCAGCTGGCTTTCATGCCTAAAGTGGGTTTACAAGTCACAATCTCCTGATTTCTAGACAACCTCCTTAACCACTACACCAAACCGACTCTCACTATTATAGAGATTGAAATCATTAAGGAGACCCTATCATGGGGCAAGCTTTACCATTCTTGCATTATCACAGAAGTGACCGGTTGCAAGACATTCTTGTTTGATCAGTCCTTTTTCATTTTGCCTATATGCAAAAGCCAAGCCTGGCTGGATTAGATTAGTGCTTGAATAGGAGAATATCAAGAGATCTCAGTAGGTCAGTCTGGAAAATAAAATAAAAAAATTCTGGAAGAAGGCAATAGTAACAAACTTCTCCAAGTAGCTGTTTTTTAGATGTCAGTTGTCATTAATGAGGTTATTAGGAAACATCAATACTTTTTATTGCTGCAAAAATGAAACAATATCTTCATTTCTTCTTTTTCCTCCTCCTTAGCTGGGCTCTGAGTGGACTGCTCCAGGAGAATTCACAAAATTTAGCTCTCAAGTCTCGAAGCCAATCCGGTAGGTGCTACCGCCATGTCCTTCCATTTTTCATTTTGACGGATAGACTGGTCCTAAGAATTAAAGGAAGAATAATTCACTACTTTTGAAACTGACAAAGGAGAGAGTAGCCAAGTCATGAAGTGGAAGAATGGCTTTTCATTTTTCTTCAGGCTGGTTTGTTTTTGCTTTAATTCTCTCTGCTAAAATCTGTGGAAGTGGAGATTACTGTAGCCTCAAGAGTGCATAATCCATGGGCTCAATCTGAAATCATATAACAGAGGTAAGTTGAACTTTTGAACAGATAAATGCAAGGACAGCCGCAGAGCATTCTGTTTTGGTTCCTGTTGCTGATGGGAAGATTTTCTATGGAGAGCATTGGGATCTCCAGAACAGATTCAACCCGGCAGAGAATCCTACTCTCTTTCTTCAACCACTCTTCTGACTTTCCAATTTTCTCACAGTCCCTTACTCAGGCCTCTAGGAACTGATGCTTGAAGGCTCTAAAGGAGTCTGTTCAAAGGACTCTTCCCAACAAGTCATGCAAAGAGCATATTGCAGAAAGACTTCACATATATTTCAGTATGCTTATATCAGAGTCGGTGTAATCTGCCCCCACCTAACTTCTGTATTGAATTAGATCCATGAGATAGACAGAACTGGTCAGTTGAAGCCAGTGGTGGGATTCAAATTTGTGAACAACCAGTTCTCTGTGTGGATGCCGCTTCCAGAAGTCCATTCTGGGCCTGGACACCAAAAAATTAGCTATAGGTTCTGCCGAAGTGGTGCGAACCGGCTGAATCCCACCACTGGTTGAAGCCCTTGCCCCAAAAGAGTTGCTCTGAACTTCCTGCCTGGCCAAGTAGAATAATGACCTCCACAATGGAGGTGTGGTCGAAATGGGGGTGAGCTTGCTTTTTTCAAAGAGCTTACGAATTCACAAATATCAGGTGGTCATGCACCATGTAATTCCACATTGAGAAGTAACATACTGTATTGGGTATTAAGGAGGGGTTGACTGTTTAGAAGAAACAGGATGCTGAGTAATAGCTATGAAAATATATTGAGGCAAGCAGGGAGTCTGCAGCAAAGTAGGATGAGTTATGGGAAGCCCTTCCCTTACATACCTGTGTGGTGACCCCACTGTGGGGTAATAGCACAATAATAGCATTGGGCTTACTTAATGCTACAAAACCACATCTTTCTCTTTTCTTGCCAGTTAACCAGCCTACTGAGTTCTTTTTTGCTGGTAATTGCCAACTGCCAATTGAAAGCAGAGCAGCAACTGACTTGATTTCTGTTGTTTGTTTTGCTAACAGCAAACAACTAAAGTGCCATTTTTATATTATTATTATTATGATTAGTCACACAGTCAGCCAGAGGTTTAGACTGGCTTTGGCATTTTTGATGGTGTTTAAATGCTGATGATGTTTAACTGATGCTCCAAATATTTTAGTACTGCACCCAAGATGCCTATCACTATTGGTACTATCTTTGCTTTATTTTGCCATAGTCATTCTATTTGCAGATCTTTTTATTTTGTGACTTATTATTATTTAATTTTCTGAAAATTGAGTTATGTCAGTTGACTTCAGTGGCTGTAGATGGTTACCTTTAGACCCAGCTTTCCTGTTTTAATCCAAGATCAAAAAGCAATTTGCTATGTTCTCACAACATTGTAGTTCCGATCAAATAAATCACACCACAACTTAACATAATGGTCTTGCTTACATGATGTGCTAAAATTGTACTTAAACTCCAACAAACATTGAACCATAAACTGCCCATCCTCATTTTAACTTGTACAAACCCAGGCTGTCTCTCAAAGCTGCTTAAAGTGGCAAGTAAACTTACGTTTCCATTAGACTTTTTCTTTTCTTACTGGCTGGCTGTTCTGTATCTTCTCTTTTTTCTTTCTTTCTTTTTTTTTTTTTTTTTTTTTTTTTTTTTTTTTTTTTTTTTTTTTTTTTTTTGACCTTTCTTTCAAATATTTATTTCTAAACCCAGTTAGCAGCTTCTTAGTCATATAACATTTCTTCTCTATGTTATCTTTTTTTTTTTATTATTTAAACCGACAAACAAAACAAAACAAAACAAAACATAATACACATATATACACCATATATATTTTAACATCAACTTCGTAACAGTAATCTTCTATTATTTACATTTTCCCCCTTATTCTTCTTTAGAGTATTTATCCTTATTGCCCCATTATTTCTTATTTGCATTTTTCTTTACTGTCTTCTGTTCTCCCCCTGGTTTACGCAAAGGCTGGTCACTTTGAAGCTAAGCTACTTTCTGTCAAATTAGAAGTCTGTCAGCTTCATTTTCCCGTTTTTTTTTATTTTTCTTTGAATGCAGCTGGCAACTCTCTTATGGCCGCATCTTCTTTTGCCCCATCTGTTTATTGTCAAGCTGGACCTCTCTTGGCATTTTGCTGAAGAAGTGTTTCCCTTATACACAAAAGTGTTTTCTCTTGTTTTGTATCCTGTCAACAGAAAAGCATATAGGCCATTTGAGTAATTGGGAGCCCTTAGAAGGTATCTGTTCTGATTCATACAGAATTTTCAGTACTGGAGCTGCAGAATCTCTTGGAAATGACTGTCTCTTCTCAATTTCAATACAGTACATTGTTTTTTTTTACCAGGAGGGTCCTCCTAAGCGGCAGACTGCCCATTCATGATATTGTGAGTTTATGCTCTTTTAACACATATCCTTTGTCCTTTCCATGCAGTAAGGGATTATTTCGCAAATAGTTGTAATGGCATGAAAGTAATATTTAAATAGATCTCTGTGAAGGTTACCATTTTTTTTCTGGAAGTCACAGTCTATGCACTAGTTTCATTTCTCCCTAACTCCTAATATACTGTATAGTTGTCTTTTTTCTCTTTTTTTCTTTGTATAGCCTCTTTTTTCTGTGTATAGAGCTTATGTTATATCATCAAACTGGAGGTGAAGTGTGGGCCTTCCAGAGTTTCCTCACTAGGATCGAGACATTAACCTTTCCAAAGTAATAATGATGTGTGCTGAATGCTTATTGCTTTTCTCTGTTGCTAGAGGAGAGTGATGAGGACAGTCATTCGAACGCAGGAACAGAATATGAATGGACACACGCATGCCTAAAGAATAGAGGAGCTAAGATGAAGCTGACTACTGGCATGATGGAAATTTTCCAGCAGCAATACCATCATGTTGGTACTTAGTAGAATTTTAAAAATGTGAATCTTTCGATGATCTAGCACTGATTCATGCAGGGAGGAATATTAAAATAACAGCATGTACTTGTGTCACTAAACAATCTAAGCACTCAACAGATCAAGAAACAAAGGCCAATATATTTTTATCTCAGTTTCTCTGTTGGAGACATAGTGAGACTGAGAGTAATTCACTATTTCAACTCCAAAAAGCTATAGATTTAAGGTTCCCTTAAATCTTGCCCTGCCCAAAATTTCACCAGAAATAGGCAAGCTCTTTTGCTCTGGAGTCAAACCTTATTTTTTGAATGAGTTTGTTTTCCCTTTTCCATGTATCCCATTCTTGAAAACATCCCAGGTATGTGATATGGTGTTCTCAAACCCCATGAGAAACAGGAATGATTAGCGCTTAACCCCAAAGTATTTGATCATGCATTTTCTTGAAAGAACTAAAAAATAAATGCCTGTGTTAGTTTATCTCTGAATATTACAAGGCAAAGTCAGGAGCAAGTTAGCAAAGGTATCTTATACCCTTTCCATCATTAATAGCCATAAGACTTACACACTGCCCTATAGTGCTTTACAGCACTCTCTGAGTGGTTTACAAAGTCAGCATATTGCCCCAACAATCTGGGTCCTCAATTTACTGACCTCGGAAGGATGAGTCAACCTTAAGTCAGTCAGGAGCGAACTTCTGGCAATGGGCAGAGTTAGCCTGCAATACTGCATTTTAAACACTGCACCACCACAACTCTTAATGATTCCTTATTTCTGTTCCTGGAAATGATTTGATACAATCCATACTTGAGAGCTTGCTATATTTTAGTTCAATGTTTTTCATTTTCTGGAAACTGTGACTTTAAATGGAAGAGTCCAACTTCTGTACATTTGACATTGGCTCACCAAAGGATATCCATGAGCTGTACAACATTTCTCCTGTCCTGTGGCTAGAGTTTTCAAACTGATGGGGGGTGGGTGGGGGAGAATTGTTACTTTGCTGCAGATTGCCTTGCAGATGATTAGCTTGAGACAAAGTACTGTGGTAATCTAATTAAGGCCCAATGGAACAAAGTGGAAGGGAAGGTTGGGCATCATTAGTACGGGCGACAATTGTTGGGACTTATTTGCCATACCCAGTTCAGTAAAACAGCTGACTGGAGACCAGCCAACTTTGATAGCAGGAAGTCTACCTCCAGAAATTCCCAGGAGAAATTAGAGGAGCTTTTTATCCTTGTTCAATTGAAGTACAGCTGTGATGAGCAGGACTTGACAGTGCTAGTTTACATGCCCTGCTTGTATGTACACACACACAAACATATATATGCTATAAAAAGTGTCTATATGTCTAATTTGGGACATATTTTACAGCATGTGTATGGTTTTTTTAATGGTGTTATTGTGAATCACCTCTGGCCCAGTGAGTGGAGGAATATTTTTTTAAAAAATCCTTTAAATAAAATGAAACAAATACATTTGCATGATTTTCCTAATCTACAACTTTTCTTTGCGGCTTTGTTCCCAGGCCTTATTGAGCTCCATCACTGAGTGTCTCTGCTGGATCACATAAACTTCCTTTATTCAAGTCTTAGCCAGAAATATACTTGGAATGATTTTTCCTCTTAGGCTGCAAGTGTTCTAAAGTATTACACTACCCTTATTTATTTTCAAAAACCAAATGCACATTCCATGCTTTCACTAGCAGCTGACCGTGTGATCTGTAATCTTAGAAAGCTGGAAAGGATGGGAATTGCTGTTCTAGACAACATTTGTATTCTTGCACTGAAGCAGGGGTGCAGTTTATGAGGGTGAAGGTTCGTTCTCCAA